TTTCTAAAATAAACTCAACAATTGTAATGGCCTCAGGCCCTCGGGTTAGTTTTGTAAGTTTAGCATGGACCACCCCTTTGTAGTTGGAGGAACTTTTCTATGAGCTTGGCACACTGTGCTGGCCGCACACAATAACTTTTGTTCTAGTTGTGTCTTACAAGTTCTCTCAGTTTGAGAGGTTTTTGAAAATTCTCACGCATTGTGGTGATGTTTATAGTTTATATATATAATTTTTTACATATGGTTTCTGGTTTCTTAGCAATTATTTTGAATGTGGTTCTGGGATTGCAGAATTTGTTGAATTTTTTTCTGATACGTGAGGAAAATATCAGTATGTATTATTTGGTCATTAAGTAGATTTTTATTTTATAAAAAATATCCCCACTTTATTAAGTTGCGCTACATAAGTAGGTGATTTTGCGATCTACAATTAAATTGCCAAAATGCAGTTTGCATTATTTTTTTGTAATTTGAATATCATTGTGGTACTTAAAAGTGGAGCTAAATGTCACACACTTTTTAATTTTAATCTTTTAAACCATGTTTTTTTTTCTCTGTTGATACTAGGCTTTAAATTGGTCTTAACTCTTAAGGTGATACAAAATTGGCAGGGTTCAACCGAATGTGACTAGTGATTATTGCAGACGTTGATGGTTGGGAATTTCACTTTGGTTCTTAGTGGCTTTGGATCTAGACTTGGTTTATCTCGATAAGGAAGCATGCTTATACACGACTAAATCAGTTTGAGCAGTTCAGGTTCTCCAGATTGGTGATGGATTGCAATAAAGAAGAGGCCATTAGGGCCAAGGGAATTGCAGAGAAGAAGATGCAGAGCAAGGATTTTGTGGCGGCTCGTAAAATTGCTATAAAGGCGCAACAACTCTATCCTGATCTGGAGAATATATCTCAGATGCTTATGGTTTGTGAAGTGCATTGCTCTGCTGAGCAGAAATTGTTTGGGAGTGAGATGGACTGGTATGGTATTCTTCAGATTGATCAAACAGCGAATGAGCTAACAATTAAGAAGCAGTACAGGAAGTTTGCTCTCCAACTTCATCCTGATAAAAACAAGTTTGCTGGTGCAGAAGCTGCTTTTAAGCTGATTGGAGAAGCTCAAAGAATGCTTCTCGACCGTGACAAACGAAGCATGCATGACCTGAAACGCAAGGCTTCTGTGAGTAAAACGACTATGCCATATCGACCCCCGCAGAAGGCGAGTTGGAATTCGAATGTTGGAGTTCAAAACAACTTCAGAGGCAACTTTTCAAACATTAATCCCCAGAACCAGCAGCAACAGCAGCCCTTTCCACCAGGGTATTCAGATTCCCGCTCGACTTTTTGGACTGTTTGCCCATTTTGTTCAGTTAAGTATCAGTATTATAGAGAAGTTCTTAATAGATCTCTTCGTTGTCAAAGCTGCAATAAGCCCTTCGTTGCATATGACACAAATGTGCCAGGTGCACCACCACCAACTAACTTAAGTCAGCAGGCATTCCCCCAGCAAAAAGATGGTACTAACAAATCTGAAGTGAGATTTTCGGGGAATGCTGGAGCTGATAATTCCAAAGCTGAATCTTTCCGAAAGACAGGTCAAAAGGCAGGTAGCTCTTCTGGTGTTCACTTAGTTAGGGTGACACGTAAAAGAAGGGGTGTAATAGAATCCAGTGAAAGCTCCGACTCTGAAAGCAGCAGTGAGTCTGAAGAGGATATGGTCATTGATGATGCTGTTCTTCAGGCTGGACTGAAATCAGGAATTTATGGAGAGCAGCAACCACGGAGATCTTCACGCCATAAGCAGCAGGTTTCTTATAAGGAAAATCTAAGCGATGATGATGGCATTCCTCCATCAAAAAGGGAGAAGAGGAGTGGCTCGTCGTGTGCCACTGAAGAGGAGGATGAAGACACATCTAAAGAGGAGGCTTCTAAAATGAGTAATCAATCTGATTGTGCTGCTGGCATTAAAGGAGATGAGGAAAGGGTGAAACAGAAAGAAAGTGCTTGTTTTGAAGAGTGCTTAACAAAAAGTGTCGGGGAAACCAAGAAGTTTGAGGCTAAAGAAAGGGTGAAGGTATTTGATTGTGAGAAAGATTCTGAGGCTCATGAGAATTCTCCATTAGATAAAAGCTCCCAGGAGGAACAAGAAGCAGACCCCTTCTTCTCATTTCCTGATAGTGAGTTCAACGACTTTGAGAAGATCCGGAAAGAAGAATGCTTTGAAGTGGGGCAGGTGTGGGCTATTTATGATACTCGAAATGGGATGCCAAGATACTATGCTAGAATCAAGAAAGTTCACCCTTCTGGATTCAAGGTGCAGATAACGTGGCTAGAGCCAGACCCTGAAGATGATAATGAAATGAAATGGGCTGAAGCAGGCTTGCCATTTTCTTGTGGGAAATTCAGACAAGGTCACTCTGAAACCAGGAAAGATCATCTCATGTTCTCTCATACAATGTCTTGGGAGAAGATTAAAAGTTATTACCAGATATATCCAAGAAAGGGGGAGACTTGGGCCATTTTCAAGAACTGGAGTATAAACTGGTACTCTGATCTGGACTCTAATCCTAAGCCTAAGTTTGAATATGAATTTGTTAAAATTTTGTCGGACTATGCTGAGGGGGTTGGAATATGGGTTGCACTCTTGGAGAAGGTGAAAGACACTGTGAGTGTTTTCTGTCAAAGACTAAATGATGGGAAAGGTATTTTAAAAGTTCCACCAGGTGAGTTATTGAGGTTCTCCCACAGAGTTCCGTCCTTTATGCTGACCGGTGATGAAGGAGTAGGAGTGCCATCAGGATCGTTTGAGCTTGATCCCGCCTCTTTGCCTTTTGATAATGAAGAAGTTCCTGTTTCTAAAGATCTTAAAATGGAGGCTAGTGCTCATCCTAATGGTTTTTCTACATCTCCAGATACAGTCAATGAAGATAGTAATGCTCCCAAAGTATCATCCTCAGAAGGTATTGAAATTCCAGAAGCTGAGTTCTACAACTTTGATGCTGATAAATCCCTGGCCACGTTTCAGATTGGTGAGATCTGGGCATTATATAGTGATGAGGATGGTTTGCCAAAATACTATGGTCAGGTCAAGAACATTGATTCTCGCCGATTAAAATTGCATATTGCATGGCTTGATTCCAACTCACTGCCAGACAATGTGATTCGGTGGCATGACGAAGGGATGCCCATTTGTTGTGGGAGATTTAGGGTTAAAAGAAATCCACTCCAGGACTATGATTCTTTCATGTCCTTTTCACATCGGGTAAAAGCACTTCCTGTTAGTAAGAATGAATTTGAAATATTTCCTAGGAGAGGTGAGGTTTGGGCATTGTATAAGAACTGGGCTGCTGATATCTCATGTTCTGACTTGGAAACCTGCGAGTATGACATAGTGGCAGTACATGCGGAAAATGATTTGCAGATAGAGGTCTTGGTTTTAGAGCGTGTGGATGGTTACAATTCGGTTTTCAAGACTCGAGTGAAAGGAAGATCTCCTGAAATGATGACTATCCCGGAGGTTGAGCTGCTGAGGTTTTCTCACAGCATTCCTTCGTTCCAGCTAACAGAAGAGAAAGGTGGCAGCCTGAGAGGCTGCTGGGAACTTGATCCTGCTGCATTGCCCGTTTGTTTCTTCAGTTAGACTTGAGTTGGTAATGTGGACTGGCCTTATGCCTTATAATGCACGTTCCCGGATTCAACCAATGCCTCTCTAGCTAGGGCCCTTTCCCGGAATGCTGGTGTGGAAAATGGAATGATCTGGGAGAAGATTCTTTTGTATTTTAGTGCGACTGAGCCTGCTCAGTTCTGATAAATGGACCAGTCCTCTTTTGTGTGTACTCTGACGAAGGTGCATACGATTCCAGATAATTTTTTGCAGCCCAAGTGTTTTGGTATTTTGGTCTTGGTGAAGAAAGAGGTGGCTCTGCTGGTTTTATGTTGCATATTCAGAATTTCTTGTTTATATAGACCCTTTAATTTTTCATGAACCCTGGCTACCTGGGCTGACTAAATGACTGATGGTGCTGGAATGTTAACGAACAATGAAAGAACTGAAACTTTTCTTCTGTAACCAGAACCTTAGTTTTTAAATTCCTCTGAAAAATCTTTTCTTCCTAGATACTACTACTGTTCTACTAGCATCGCATGTTTTGATGTTTTACAAAATTAGAATGCCCCCATCAATGCTTTATTCTGTAGGGTGTTTTTCCAACAACTTTTGTGGGCCAGCCTCATTGCTTCCTAGTTTTGCAAGGGCATTCTCGATATTAAAGTCTTCGACAAATGAACACTTCTGGCACCATGTCCAGCTGCCGCCAGGAAGTACTTGAGGCAATTGCATAGCATTTGATAGAAATCACTTCGCATTATAGTTCATGAGTACTTTATTTGCCCCTCCAATCATGTTCCGTTACGCTGATACATATGGCGAAACGCGTGATAAGAGTTTCATATGGCGAAATGTAATTGGATGGGGATAGCAAAATATTGGAGATATGCTATCTCCGGGACATGCAAGTTCTTCTTCATTGAGGCTTTTTAAAGGTTTTAATGTAGGGCTTTTAGTTTTACTTCTTCACTCAACTTCAGTTTCTTCAGGATTCGATTATAAACAATGACAGATTTGGCACTCATAATTGTTGACAATTTCGTAGTTGATGTCTGAAGCGAACGACTTTCAACTTTCAATTAAGATTTATGTCTCCTTTTTATTGTGGCTTAACCAAAACATCACGTTTATTAAATATATTTTAAACTTTTACAGAGACATGAAGGGCATTTGGTCTAGTGGTATGATTCTCGCTTTGGGTGCGAGAGGTCCCGAGTTCGATTCTCGGAATGCCCCCCTGCCTTATATTAAATTTTTTGTTTCTTTTAGAATTAATAAATCGATTTTGGTTTTTGATTTGTCGTTTCGTGGTAAAACTAGTAAATGGTAAATGCGTAGAAAAGTAACAAAACAGAAAAGCACATAGTTGAAGAAGTTACCAACTATCAGTTTCGCCGCTAAACTCTCTCTCTCTCTCTCTCCAGAAAGTGAAGTGAACAGTGTTGTTGTTGTACTAGTCGCTGATTTTCCCTCCAAAAATCCCACCCTCCATTTACTCGTTACCCCACTATCTTCCCAAATTTCCTTCACCTCCAAATCCCTAAACCCTAAACTCTCTCTTTTTCCTTCCTAATTGAGTGTGTTTCTTTACTTACTTCTGTATAATTGCTACTCTAGTTTTCATCGTCGCGACCAATTTTTCTTATTTCTATTTTTTTCCCTTTAGAAATTTCATTGCTTTGTTTTAGGGTTCCTAGTGGATTCTGGTATTCTATTCGATGTGAATTGAAATGGGTTCTCTTTGGGACGAAAACGATGAAATCAAGCCAATGGAAACAAATCCAGTTGTCGATTGTGCCCATACCCAGCCCATTGATAGTCAGATTTCAAGTCCTCCATCTCCTGGTAATCTTTATAGTTATTTTTGTTGAAGTTGTGTCTTTTATGGTAATTTTCTGCGGAATATATAAATAAGGAGCAATTTTTGTTCAAGCCCTTCAACTTTTGTCTGTGAGCTTTTCATGGACAAGTCCAAATCTGTTACATGTTTGAGCATATCTGTCACATTCAGTGCATGTCATTGTCAGCATTTACATGTGGATGTGCTTTAGTATGATCTTCAAGCATGCCAGGATGTGAATGCCGCTGTCTATTGGTTTAGGATTCCCATTGGGGTAAATTGATTATGAGATAGTTTTCTTTATGATTGACCTTGATTCTAGAATATAAAACTTTATCTTCTTTCTAATGACATATGAAAATTGTTAATGAGCTCACCCTCTTTTTTTAAACAATGAAAATTAGATGAAAAGGCCAAATTTGAGGATGCTCATGAGATAGTGCAAGACACTGTGCCTTTTGATGATACTGTTCTAGTTGAAGATGCATTCGAAACTCAAGTGCTTAATCTTGCTGGCGAAACCCAAGTAATGGATTTTGGTGCTGAAACCCAAGTAATGGATTTCGGTGGCGAAACCCAAGTCATTGATTTTGGTAGTGAGACCCAAGTATTAGATTATATAAACTGCGTTGAGAACATGGAAACTCAGTTATTAGAGTTTGAAGATGAAGTTGTCAGTGACACTGACAGTGAAGAGTCGGATACAACTGAAGTTTTTGATGATAACAAGCATCTAACTCATGATGAATCAGTAAGAAGAGGTTCTGGTCAAGTAGTGAATGAGGAGAAGATTTGCTGCACTCCTTTTGAAAATAGTGAAAAGGGGTTAATGGAGCAAGCCAATAATTCGATCCACGAGAAACAAAATGCAGGTTTGCCTTCTTTAAACGAGTTAAGAATACCAATCTTTCGATTATTATTGTATCATTAAAAAGCTCGATTTGTGGTCTAAAACTTAACTTTGCATGCTTAAATAATCAATGCATTATTCTTTTGCTTTATCTATTATTTCAATGATGCGTTTCTGGGAGAGAATGAATTACATCATGGGATGATGGATTGCAAATTAGTGCCTTTTTGTAATTCATTGTATGGGATATCATTATTTTTTTTTGGGTCAAAATGGGATATCATTCTTTGGTTTTGGCATGCTTGTTCTGTTTTTTCATTTGTAGGAATTTTTGGAATTCAAATGAACTCTCATTTTCACATTTAAATTCTGCATTCAAATATTATGTGCTAATTCTTAAAAGTAAGTTGGGGTTTAATCTTTTAGGGCTCCATGTTTCTACAGAAACACCTGTGGATAAAAGCTCCCCGGAACTGAAACCCGGTATCCGCTATCCCACTTCTTTATGGTTAGATAGTGTATTTTTTCTAATCAGAAATTAGGCAAATGTTTATTGATGTAATGATCTTGCTTGGTTGTGTATAAATAACTCCTTCAAACAGTACGTAATTCATCTCAATTACAAATTTTGCCCGACTTATTTTGGATTAAGGTGCTGCCAATTTGTTTAAGCATATTATTGGTTTCTTTTTCAGTCTATTGTTTCTCCATGCCATTGTGGTTCATTCAGAGCACAGACGTCTGGGCCTAATTTCTGGGCCTAATTTCTATCGATAATGTTGAATTGATTTTCTAAAAAGCAAAAATAAAATATAAAGGAAACATGGTCTGCATTTATTTTTCAGTTGCTTATATCGGAATTTCTGGTGGCATGTCTTCTTGCTCCTTTGGAATTGTAGAAGTATTGGAAATTCAGAATTCAGATTATTCAATTCAATAATATTAATTTTCTTATAATAAAAAATCCAATAATATTAATGCACTCCTGATGAGAACTGCTTTGTCAATCTGGGTTTTTATTTATTTATCTGTCTTCCCATTCTGGCCAGGATCTGTGCGTATGCATTTCACCTCAGTCCGTGCCGCATCATTGCGGGCCTCTGGTCTAGCAGCTCGCTTGAAGGGCACGAATAGTGAGTCTCCTTCTGTTCCAAGTAATAGTCAGTGTTTGGAGCAACTTTCTGGGAAGGATGCAGTATCTCTTTTATGGGGTTCCACCATAGGTGGGGAGAAAGTCAACCAGGAATATGATATGGGGAGATGTAATGAGAAAATAAAGAGGTCAACGAATGAGAACAATTGCAGGACTGGTAACTCAACAGCGAGAAAACTTTTTAATGAGGATTCAGATGCTGAAGAAAATGGATTTCCTCATAACAGCAGTAGTGGTGAAGAAGGAGAAGGCCTGCTTCAGTTTCCTTGTAATTTGGCAGGGTTAAGCTATATTGACTCTCAAGAACCTGGTGAATTATCACAGGCTAATGCGCTTGATTTTGTGGATAAGTTCCTCCAAGTTAATGTTGAGGAGTTTGTTAAAGAAGTTGACCGTGGAAAGAGTGCTGGGGAAAATTCAAAATTTGTCTCAAGTGCAAAAGGGCCACAAAGATTGGCCAAGAAAGCCATTGATAAAAGCATAGTTCAAGATGTAGGCATTTTTGATTGGGATGACAGCCGGGAGAATGAAGAGGGAGGTGATTTTTTCTGCCGGAGAAAGACAGACTTCTTTGGTGGTGGAAGCCATGGCTGGAGATCTCTTCCCCAATCCCAGAAGTCCAAAGGGAACAGACAGGAGGGCCAGAAGGATCACAAAGAACAATTACAGGGAAAGAACAAGAAAATGGGTGTAATTCATTCAGATTCAAAACTATTGTTGCATAATTCAAAATTCAACAAGAAGACAGAACATGAAGATGAAATCAAACATAAAAAGAATCTTGCTAGTGAGTTTGACAAGCAGTTTGACATCAACTCCACTAGAGGACAGTTGGATGCTAATGTCAAAAAGAACAATGATCCTGAAATGCTAGATGTAGGTATTGATACTCAAATGGCAGCTGAAGCTATAGAAGCATTATTTAATGGTGAAGGAATTTCCAATTGTGATGCTATTACTGCACTTCCAGATGTTCAAGGAAATCCAAAAAGTTCTCCTGAAGGTTCCGTGGGTGAAAAAACAAAGAATACACTTTCTTCAAGGAAACCCTCTTCTCAGAAAAGAGCACGTCTGTCTGATGCAGGGGTTGCTTCTCGAGAATCTCGACAAGCCAAGAAAACTAGGATTGGTGCCAAATCTGGGAAACATTCTTCAATTTCATCTCCAGAATATTCTAAGACTGCCAGGAAGAAGTGCGAAACAGAGTTGGTGATAACAAAATCAAAGAAGGCCAATTCAAATGCTAAAAAGCACCTTAACATCAATGGGAACAAAAGCTTGGAGAAAATACCTTCTGTCGCTATTGACCTGAGAACAGAAGAATCTATAAAAGGGCATTTACCAGATGTTGGTAATTTTGTACCCATTGCACGTCGGACTAGACATTCTATGGTGGTAAATCAGTTACAGAAAGCTGACAAAGTATCAAGTGATTGTGGAGAAGAGTCGAGCTATCAGACACAGAATGTTGCAATTAGGGAAAAAATAATTAGTTTTACAGGTGTTCAGAAGTCTAAAGTGCTAAATGCAAAATCTTCAAAACTAGATTCCAATAAAACTGGAAAAGTGGGAAATAACAAACCAAGCCAACAGGAGGAGTCAGATTTCAAGTTCGAAGCAGTTAGTAACGGTATTAAATTGGATGTGTTAAACTTTCCCAAAAGAAGAAGATCTCGGCGAAATATGTCCATTCAGGTTTATGGACCCAATAACTCAGATGGTCCATCTGAGCCATCTGTTCAGGCAGACAAAATTGGACAACATGTCAATAGCCACAAAAGGTTGCGGAGTGGTGCGAAAAACATTTGCACTGATATAAAGTTGACAAGGAGGACACGATCATCTACATGTGGAGACCAGAATTTGGATGGAAAGTTTGCTCAAGAAATTTTAAAAGGAGGTCCTGGGGAAGCTCCCCTTCATTGTAATTCTTCTCATAAGGATGGGAGAATGATATCAGAGATTATAACTGGCAAGAAGGTAGTTGGGATCTCTGACAGGAAGAGTGTTGCAAATTGCTCTTCTGCTGCTAAAATGTCGGATGAATTCCCAAGAGAGAACTGTAAACCATCTGATTCATCATGTACTACTCCAGTTAACAATAAGGTGCCTGTCAATGCTGCATCTCCTGTTTGTATGGGCAATGAATATTTCAAACAGACATGCAAGAGGAGGCTGTTAGGGTCAAGTCTTTTGAAAGAAATCCGTGGCTTAAGTGCAACTGTGTGTGAACCAACTTCAACACCAGAGTTAAGAAAGAGGAGAGATATGACTGATGTTCGAGTTTTGTATAGTCACCACTTGGATGACGATATAATTAAGAAGCAGAAAAAGGTACTTTGTTAATTAGTTTAGTCTAAATATAAACTCTAAAGTAATCTTATCTGTTGATCTTTGTCTTGTAGATTTTGGCCCGACTAGGAGTTTCTGTAGCATCATCTATGACAGATGCCACACACTTCATAGCAGATCAGTTCGTGCGTACGAGAAATATGTTAGAAGCTATTGCTTTTGGGAAGCCAGTGGTGACGCATTTATGGCTCGAGAGCTGTGGACAAGCTGGCTGTTTCGTTGATGAGAAAAGTCATATACTAAGGGATAATAAAAAGGAGAAGGAGTTTGGATTTAGCATGCCAGCGTCATTGGCACATGCATGCCAGCATCCACTTTTACAGGTAAATATTATGTTTATGTTGGTGTGACCAGATTTATTAGCTACTTATTCTGCAGTTCTGTTAACACATGAATTCTGCAGGACCGTAAAGTCTTCATCACCCCAAATACAAAGCCTGGTAAAGAAATAATTTCAAATTTGGTCAAAGCAGTCAAAGGCCAGGTACAGTCTCCTATTTCATTTTGTAAAGCTGGATTTATCTCTTTTGCAGCGTTTTTAATTGTCTTAAAAAACTTTTTGATAATAAAGAACAGATTGTTTTTTCTGCAGCAGAAAAACATAAATTAAGCTCTCTCTCTCTCTCTCTCTCTCTCTCTCTCTTTCTCTTCGTGCACGTGGCCACATGCATGTATACTTTTTATTCTTTTTCTTATCTGATATTTTTGGTGCCATTACTTCCAGCAAACTTTAGGTTGAGTTGGTTTTGATGTTATTTGAATTGCCCCTTAGGCCGTGGAGAGAATTGGTAGATCAACTCTGAACGCTGATAAAATTCCAGATGATCTGTTGGTTCTATCTTGTGAGGAAGATTATGAAATATGTGTGCCTTTACTTGAAAAAGGTTAGTAGCAATCTTCTTTATGTCAAAAGTATTTATAGGAATACAACTGATTGTTGTGACACTGCTGTATACTTGCAGGAGCTGCAGTTTACAGTTCAGAGCTGCTATTGAATGGGATTGTTACTCAGAAGCTGGAGTTTGAAAGGTTGGTTTTATTTCCAGGGTATCACTTTTACTATCAGAGAATAATATCTTTTGTTCTGGTCGAGAGGGAAAATAACGGATTAAATGGACGTTTATAATTGCATTCAATTGGTTTCATCCTCTCCCATAAATTTTTATTTTATTTTAAAAAGATAAATGGTTTTGATTCCTAATGTTCATCCCTAGCTTGTTTTTACCCCGGCGAAGACTGGAGTTTATGTTTAATGGATTCTTAACCTTGTTTCCCTAACACATTTTGCAAAAAAATTGGACAGGCATCTCCTCTTTTCTGATCAAGTTAAGAAAACCCGTTCCACCATATGGCTGAGGAAAGATGACAATAAGTTCCTGCCTGTAACAAAAAATAAATAAGGTGAAACATTTTTGTCTTCGCAGTTTCCCTTTTTCTCCTTTATATGGTCACCCATTTTTGTTAGTTGCTTTCCTAATTGACTTCTTTTTTTTTTTCTTCTTTTTTTTCATGTAAAAATATATATGCTGTACATAAAAAGTGTAAATTTTTCCGTCTTTGTTCTCCCCTATTTATTGGGTAATGTAGCTAGTTAGTGGTCAATGTCGCAAATCGTGTAATTTCAAACTTCATGTATCGAAGCCATGGTTCCTGGCACTAATCGATCACTTTACTTCAACACAATATGGTACCTTAAAAAGGTTGAGCTCTCGTTTTCCCTCATGTAAGATGATATTAAATCATGGTATACATTATGGAGTTATGAAGAAGCAAAACCACTATTAGAATTCTATAGTTATGGCATTATCTAAAGCCCTTAGATGAGGTTTTATCTTTTAACCATTGGATCAAATTGATTAGCCATTGGATTCACTGGTTAAGAGATATGACATCATCTAAGGGCCTTAAGGCCCTCACTATAGGACTTCACCCACTAAAGCTTGTTGAAACTTGTAGAGGGTTCGTCCTTCAACCAACCCAAGATTTGACCATCTATTGGATCCTGATTAATAACCTTGATAATACCATCCACTAGGGGGAGAGATGAGGAAAATGGTGCACTTTTGCTCAGAATTAAAATAAATAATAAATAAATATAAAACAGCAAAAGCAATTGGCCAAAAAACTTGGATCTTCAGCTACAGGCTTCATCTTTATATAATACAAAGCACTGTATACTATTAGTTAAATTTGGCCCCTCTCATTGAAAAGAAAAGGAAGAAGTTAAATTTGGCCTGAGTAATGGATGTACACTAATTTGTTAACAATTGGCCAACATAATGCAAGCGATTCCTTGTTGGTACCAGGATTCAGTCATACTGGGCTGGAGTTTTGATTTTGTGCAACTTGAACTCTCCAGGTGAAATATTGCATATACAATGAGTTGAGGCTCATGGCTATACCAAAACCCAATACCGAAGCAATCAATATTGAGTAAATAGCCATCAGATGAAGCTGAAAGAGAGAATAAAAAGGTTTAGTTAACAAGACAACAAGATCTAAATTCAAAGGAACATCTGAATCAAGTAAGGCCCTGATGATAATGGAAGCAAAAGTGGAGTAAAATAATCAAGCACTTCACATTAAGCTACTTTGGTGGTCAAGATTTCAGATAAATTGTGGAAAAATAGCCGCCGCGCTAAGCAACACACGCATAGAAATCATGGAGCATATTAATGACATGGAGAGAAGCAAATTTAGTTTTACATGAAATCACATTAGACAACACCACTCACTATCGAGTAGAGCAGATGGACGAGAATGGCCACAAGTGCAAACTCAAGAGCTGCATATGTCCATATATACTCCTTGATTGCTGCAAATTGGACAAGCAAACAGTGAGAGAGTTATAAACTATAAAGAGAGAAGAGAACTAGTACTTTTAGAGGTTCGTACCAAGGATGATGGAAAATATGGATGCCAAGAGGCCCAATGTAAATGCAAATGGTGCTGCAATAACAATTGCTTGAGTTTTCAAGTCACCAATCTACACAATGAGAAAGAGCAGAATTACCATGCTTATGCCAATTATTACAGAACTTTTTTTTTGGTCGAAAAATTATTACAGAACTTGAAAATATAAAGATGCTTGATAAAAATTGCTTTACTTTTGCAAATCATAATTAATTACAACTTGAACCAGTTCTGTCTCTACTTTCAATGTGTGTACTTTTCGGAACACTGTATTTCCTCAGACAGTTCTAGACCATACAAATGAACAGAAAAAATATTTCATGAAAACTGGAGCCGCATGTTACGTGTTCTTACACATTGTCTTGTGTAGTGCTGCGTATGGTCTAATTGCACATAATCAGACTGGATTATTTTGAATTTAATTTGAGATTGGATGATGTCAAACTCAACATGAGACATGAATAATTCTAGTTTAGTGGAAACCAAATAATTTGTTCTTAAAGTTTCTTCAATAGAAGAATGGCATACCAGTAGCTGCTCAAGGAAGAAGAAATAGCATATTGTGCTAATTAAGACCAGTACCACAAAGTCCTGCCAGGCACTGCATAAAATTATGATTTAATTAGCTATAAAGGTTAAATAGAAGCAAACTATCATATGCTTGACAGAATTGAATTCTATAAATAAAGTACAGGGGTGACTTGCTAAAAAAGAAAACCCTACAGCAGACATTATCAACTGCCTATTGATAAATCAATGACGTGGCTAAAATGGCTGTAATTTCTCAGCAGGGTAAGAAATATGTGGATCCAAACTATACGGTTTGGATCATCTTCTGGCACTTAAGATGGAGAAATCTATTTGGACATCCATGACATCATGACTGACTGGAAATGGACGCATCATATAAAGGTTTTTCTTTCTGTTTTCATATATCTTTATGATGCACAACCTTTAATAGTCACGATACCATGAATCTCTAAATAGATCTCAATCCCACAATATCTCACCTTATCGTTTCTGGACGCAAGCTCTGTTGATTGTGCTCCTGTCTGGTACCCCTTTGAACAGAGCTCTGCACCCGAAGTAAGGTTACAGGTAAATTCTGAACCTCTTTCCCACATACATCACATTTCTTGTTTCCTTTTGTGCTAAACCACTTAATGGCACACTCTTCATGCACAAGTCTGAGAGCACCTTTGCAAAAGCATTCCATTTTGAGTGTATTTTGTTCTTCACATACATCAAGACATATCCTGCACACTGCTTCTTCTTCTGGAATTTCTTCATCATTGGTCTCCTCCACTGGAACTGGAGTTATTTGATCTGATTTGCCAAAAACAAAGTTAGAGAGGATTATATACAGTGCAATCATTTACAAATCTTTCCTAACTTTTTCCATGGGACCAAGCACATGGCTCGGTGAACCACTCTGCCAAACCAAACAGGATTGAGAAGCATCTCATTTGAGTCTGATCCATTTTCTTAACCAGAAATGAATGTGACAAGATCCCAATGGCAAAGAGAGAGAAAAAGAGGAATACATAAGGCAATCAGTAGAAAGAAATTAATGAGAAAACCTTTGAAGTTATAGGATGTTTATCTTTAGCTGACTCTATACCCTGAAAGATGGAAATTCCTCCAATCTTACAAATATATAAGCTGCATGTGCAGTGCAGCATGAATAAGAAACTAAAACAGCAGATTTACTACCTACCATTACTAGGATCTGTTTGGGTCTGCTCATTTCGAGTAGCAAAAGATACGGATCTTACAATGACAATATTTCGTCCAGGCACAGACAGGGACCTTGAAACTGTAGCCTGAACAGTTTCTTTCTGCACAACATTAACCAGAAGTATATCAGATTTTTCTCAGTTAGATGAGTTTCAGATTTACAAACCATCACATTAAAAAGGGAAAAATTTGAGAGAAGTACAAAGATTCAGATTTCTTTTTCTTTTTCATAGAGATATAGTAGTTTAATGGCGAAATTGAGCTGAATTATAATATAAAACTAGTAAGAGATACCCTGAGTATCTAAAGTGGAAACATAAATCAGATTTCATTTGTGGGGTAATGAATGCTCAGACATCATTCTTGGAAACAGCATTTATGGGATTAAAAAAAAAGATATCAATAATGTCAGTTCAATCATTTATAATGGTTTCTGTCTGGCAAATCATGAGAAAAGTGGAATTATCTTTGTTGCATGATCATTTTTATACAAATAAGTTCATGTCAAACCTCAAAAACTAGGGAAAACTCTAGAATGCATGACCACTTACATGTGGCTTGTGCACTTCATTATACATCCTCGCAGAGATAGGTGTAGAAACAGAGGGGGACAAATTTGACGCCGGCGTAACAGGAAGTGAGGTACATCTTGCCCAAGGAAGAGCTGATGCAAAATTGGCCATTGTGGGACTTTCAGGAGCTTTACTGGGGTCTGTATTAAGGAGGGAGCTTTTCTCACCATCTGGTAGAGTAGCTTTTTTCTTGAAGCTTAACCCCCGGAAGAGGCCACCTGATAGTGAGCTACCCTTAGAGGAACCTTGAGACTGGAGTAAACCCTTTCCGCTGCGGCTACTGCCAAAAGCCGCAGGCCTTGGGGGTATTTGAAGTGATATGTCTGGGCGCCTCCCAGCAGGTCCTTGGTCTGTAGCTTCTTCCTTCACATTTTCGGGACCAGCCTGCATAAAACAATTATCTACCACTACTAGTCATTTGGCCTATAAGTTTTCATAAGATTTCTTATATCACTCCAACAAACTCAAAATTTTTACACAAAAGGAAAAACAACCCATATTTCAACAGTGGGTGGGAGGGTGTGCCCATTGCACAATTCAGCCAAATGGCTATAAAGACCATACTGATTTTAAAACAATACAGATCTGCAATAATAACAAAAGTAACTGTAAAGCAGTTTACATAACACAATCAAGATCTGCAAATACTAGTTAAGGAGGGCAAAGAAGAATGTAACAGTTCGAAATCAGTTCCAATTAAAAAAAAAACTAAAATTAAACCAGTGAAATGAGAAACTGGACACCCATAAACTTCATTCTTAATGCTATCAGATAATGATTCATCACCTGAAAACCAACCACCAAAGACAAAAATAACTATGATCCAGCTCTAATTTAAATACAGCAGCAAACCAAACAGATAGTATTTGCAAAAATGGAAAGAAAGAAGAAAAGGGATGCCCAGTGAACCCAGTTGGTTTCTTGAGCTACATCAATGGAGATTCAAGCCCAAATCTTTTTTTTTTTTAATGCAGAATGGGGGAAACCCCAATAATTCAAGCCCAAATCTTTCAAGAACAAACAACAAAGCATAAGCTGCTTGCACACAGCTCCACAAGTAGTAAATGCAAACATGGTAACACACAAATATAGTGAGAGGTAGGGAAATTAAGAGATAAACCTCAGCAGGAGGAGCTTCTGCAGCTCCATTGCTCACTGCTTGAGCGGCTTGCATTGTTCTTATTAAAAAGACTACCCAGAAAATAAAAAGGAATGACAAATCTGAAACAGAGACTGAGGAATGAAAGATTTAAGGAAATAGGGAGAGTGGTGATGAGCAGCGGAGGTTTTTTTAATTTAATTTTTCATTTTTAATAATAGGAAATGTTATAAGGAGGACGCTGGTCTGGTCCGGTCGCGTAGAAGATGACGCGAAATTTGTTTGATATCTCCAGAGGCTTTCTTCTCGTTGCCGCATTCACTCCACCACTCGCGCTCTTTTTAGAAACCTTCTTACTCGCTTTTAAGGGCCCACTTTTTTATTGCATAATTTGCGTTTGCATTTCCTTTTTCTTTCGGTATAATATATTCATTTTTTTACCAAATAATTTTTTGGTGAAGTGATATTTTTCTTTTAAAATTAAAAATATTCCAAGTTAATCGATGCATGAACATTAGAGTATCACCATTGAATGTTAGGATATCGCGTGTACTTATCTTGAATGAGTAGTGGAATTATTTTGATTCATTCATGACTTAACATGTGTTTACTACATATGCATTTAGAATTATTCTAATTTTTAGTTTTTTAATGTTTTTTTTTTAATACAAGCGATAATCTACACACACTATTAAGGTATAATGAGGGTTCGAACTTAAGACCACTGGTTTGTAAGTCAAGGTCATCTTCCACTGAGTTGGCTGGTTTCTCATTATTTAGTAACACATACATAATAATAATAAATATATGCGAATTTATAATTCGTAATTCAATACTTAACATGAATTAGATTAATTGATGAATAGCTGAAGGCATGATCAATGAAGGTTGGTCAGAGTGGAAGGGGCTTTGGTCGCTTAAACAAGTGGTCTCGAGTTCGAGCCCTTGTGGATGCAGAAAACTTTTTTAGAAGAGGTCTTCTCATATGCGCCAGACAGTACCTCGGAGGATTATGTCTGGACCATGCCTGGGGATACCTTGGAAAACCAAAAAGAATAGCTGAAGGCATGTGTATTGTACATGCTACTGGAGGAAAGTAGATCATGAGATGAGGGCAACTATCTTACTTGTAGTTATGAGTTGGCCCATCGCATTGAATTTCATCATCATCATCATCGTCGTCACCACCATTTTCAATTCATTCACCACACACGAACGAAACAAAAGAAAAACAAAGCAGCACACAATGGATCTTTTAGCTACCAACCTCCAACAAAAATCCATCAGTTACAGAATTGTTCACAAGCTAGCTATTATTCTCGTGTGCATAGCACTAGCAGAAATTCACATGCCATGGAAGAATTAGCTACACACCCTTCATTATTCAATAATTATTTATTGAATAATGGGACAATAATCAACTCCACCATTCATGATTTATTAAAAATTATAGGGTCACTTAGTGAGTAGAAATTCAAACCCGAGACATCGTCTACTATTGAGAAAGATCTTAGTATCAAACTAGCTATAAAACAAAACATTAAAATTGAGGGTCGAGTTACAATTTGGTGTTGAACTGTGTTTCGCAAACATAGCCTATAATTTACAGGTTAAAGTTAAAGTCGGGTTAGATTTTGATGGGTTTGGATGGGTCGGATCCAAGTTAAAGACGATGATTTTTTGGATATTATAAAATGTAGTTTGATGCATGTGTGTGTTAGGTCAGTTGGTCAGGACAGTGAGTTAGGTCAGTTGGTCAGGGCAATAAGCTAGCCCGCTTACATTCAAGTTCGAATTCTCCTCTCAATAAAGTAGATTAATTTAGAATACTTTAGACTATCGCTTGTATTAAAAAAAATATTAGGATTATTTTATTTTATTTTTTGTTAAATGTTGTTATACTTTTTACTTTTAACCCAAATCGCACCTCTCCTCAAAAAACAAAAAAAAACAACAACAAAAAAAAAAAAAAAACCCAAAACGCCAGGCCCATCTCGAAGTTCCTGAGTCCAAATCCGAACTCCAAACTCCAAAACGCAAAACTCACTCTCGCAGGTAGAGAGAGAGTCTTCTCCACCAGAACTCCGTCTACTCTTGAGCTGTGTAAATCTCTACTCTCAGTTTTGCCTTTTAATGCTTTAGCAAACATGCCCTTATTATAATATGCTTATTGAAATCGAACTTTTGATTTTTTCTTTGGGTTCTGTACGTGTCGTTCTGTAGTGAAAATGAAGTTTATGGATTGGTATGTAAAGATTGCACTCGGGTCGGCTCTGATTGGAGCTTCTATGGAGTTTTTCATGATCAAAACCGGCTTCTGTGTGAGAACTCTCCTTTTTCACTCCTTTCCATCTTTACCCAATTGCTTCTTTCTCCTGCTTACTATTGCTTTGCTGCCTATTATTTCTTCTTCTTTTTTTTTTGGGGTGCAACTATGTATCTACCCCTGATATTTATAACTGGAGTTTGCAATTAACTGTTTGGTAGAGGATTAAGTTCATCCTTAAATTTAGATTTTTATTTTCCTTCTTAGAATTGATTAGATTGTGATTGTATGGTGCAAATTCATGTAATTTGATAAATATTACAGGGTTGTTCATAACTGTTATAATGTATGAAAGCAAAACATCAGACTTGTATTAGGGAATTTTGAAAATGGCTGTGATGGCATTATATGTGCACTTCTATATTCAATGTTAGATATGAATGATATTGGTGGTTGAACTGAACTTAGATGAGGTTTCACATTCACACGGTTTTTATTGATTTCTTGGACCCTTTGAATTGGCACTTTTGTTGGTGCTGGTTACTCCCAAGTGGAGTTCGAACTTGGGGAACAACAGTTTCCACTAAATATTTCCTTTGATCTGTGTTGCTCCCCATTTGAGCCCTTGTTGCGGTGCACTTGGACTAGGGTTGGGCCCTCTAAGTTGTCCTTGGCCACCTCTACCCTCTTCTCGCCTCGGGTGTCTCCTGTCCTAACCATTTGTTTTTCTTTCAGCAAAAGAACAAACACACAAAAAAAATATCCACCGTCTTTTGGCCCATCTTTACAAGAAACTAGTTACCTTTACATGTTAATGTTGTTTCTAACAAATGTCCACTTTTGTTGCTTGGCTTTATCTAGTTGAATTGTTCTGTGCCATTTTTACCAAAAGGGTGCCTGTTGCATTCTCTCTTATCATTTTGATTTTTGTTGTTGCACAATCTAATTCTTAGTTACTCTCTTTCTATGCGGGCAGATGACAAAGTAACTGTTTTGGAGTCAGAGAAACGGGCTTGGGAGAATTCACTGGAGGCTCAGGCAATCAGAGATGCTCTGAATCCTTGGAAAGATCGTGATGCAGAAGCGAGGAAAGAATCCTAAGTTGGATGGCAGCATGTTCATAAGGTTTGTTTACTATTGCATGTTGGTAGTGGGAATCTAAATTTCTTTGTACAATGCAATCCATTTGCTTGGTTCGACATACAATATCAAGAACTGCGACTGTTTATAGTCGTGATGCCATTCAGGATTCACAGTTGCTAGCGGACTCTAATTGACTGTCTTGTTAGTTAGTGTTTTCCTATTTTCCACAACTTATGGCTGGTTCATGATCCTAAACCATTTTTGTGTGGGGTGTGATCTGCCTTACAGTTTCAATATCTGTATTAGTATCTATAATAGTAATACAGATCACAGATTTTAATCTTTTGACTTGGCCATTAGTTTCCACGATTGATTGATTTGGACTAATATCTCTACCAAGTAGGAATGGTAGCTGATAGTATTAGAATCTGTTTATGAGCTCAGCTTGAACTATGCCTGGAAAGTGAATATAACCTCTGAATATTTGACAGCATGATATGGTTGAATTTTGAATATCTTCTTTATCACGGTAAAACATCTGACTCTAGTTTTTATTTTAACTCTCATACTGCACAAGATTTGTCTGTAAACAGGTTTGGTATATCAAAAAACTGAACAGTGTTTTTGTGACTCTGCAGGAAGAAGATAACATTATAAGCGGGGGATCATTCGGAAAATACTGACAAGAAATTACACTGTTTCTTCTGAGTAGAACAAAGTGAGAGATAACCTTGATCATCCTGAAAATTATTTCATTCCTCCGATTTCTGTAATTTATATTCTTGTTGTCCTGGTTACATGATCAACAATTTTGATGAATACGTTCATGTAGCCTTTTTGATTGGTTCTTGTAAGCAACTACAGTTCCGAATGATCGAGACAAAAGTTCTGTTACTCTTAAACCTTTAGCATGTGCGCCATGGCTATGAAGCTAAAATCTTTGCGCCATGGAAGAATAGCTTGTACTATCTGGCCGACATTTTTGTTGCCTCTGTAAGTAGATTCAGGGTGTTCAATCAACCTAACATATCAAGTTGATTGTTGCTTTGATAATTGCTAGTGTAAAGGAGAAAAACTAGCATGCCCCGGATGTACGCACATGTTGTCTCTACCTCTCTCCTCACGTGACTTGTTTTTATACAACTCATAATGTACAGTGACTTTGTAATGCGCTAAAATGAAATTGGAAATTGAGTGGCTAAAATTTTGTTAAGTAGTCAATAAAAATTGTCACTTACCAACCTCATAAATTTAAAGCCACACGATATCTTGAAGATGTAAGTAACAACACGTCCTGAACTTAAAAACAATATCTAAAAGATCATATGAAAGCGTGGTAGCTTGACATGACAACAGGAGTCGAACACTTGAATGCTTGTCGGCATACCCCAAGATTTAGCAGTGCGTTTTCAATCATCTATAATTTACTTTTGTGCTAATGGAAATTAGCACCTGAGCTTGGGGAGTAGGTTAGCTAGTCAGATAATGAACCATTAAATTGATTATCAATTTGTCCAAAAAAAAACATTGCGATTGGTTATCAATTCATCCTAACCAAAAAATAATTGGGATTATCAAACCCACTTTAAAAATAATCATGAACATGAGTCCTTCGTTCCGTTGCTATTTATTAGTGCCTTTACCAATAGCGATTAATTAAGGGTGCTGATTTTCCCACTCCCTTTTTCTAAACAAAAAGGAGTGTATGTGGATAAAAGAGGAGTGGGAAAATCATTTTCCTTAATCAATGGTAAATGTCATGTATCATATTTATCGATCACATTATTCATTACATTTTCCACGTAAGTAAGACTTATCTACACAAATGAATTATATCATGCAGTCAACAATTTGATTAGATTTAAAATTAATTGGCAATGGAAAGAGAAATCCAAAATCTTATGTGCAAGATTTTTTTTTTTTTAAATCCAAAATGAACAG